AAATGGTTAATAAGTATGCATGAGAAAATATGTACATATGTATATTAAAACCGATTTAAGCTCAATATTAATTTAACAATATAACAATTTAAACCAATTCAACTTTAACCAAGCTATATGGTTTCGTAAAAACACAAGGTTTTTCGCAACCAATATACAACATACACCATACATATATCGAACAAAAAACAAAATTTAGTATGATATGGTCCTAAAAAGAAACTACAATACAAAAGATATTTCTTCGTAAATGTTTCCTTTGGCATCAACATATTTTATCAGAAATTTTGTCAACATCAATCCTTATAACAGTTTCCAAGTGACAGACTTGCATGAATGCAATTTTGAATATTTCACCTCTGTACCCCCCCCCCCCCCCCCCCCCCCCCCCCCCCTTCCCAACCAACCACCCTCCAAACACTGCTACATATTCTTTCGTCGGATATTGGTCATGTGGTCTTGCATACCTACAATATGTTGCTGTAAGTTCATTCTCTATTTCCGTTCGTGCTATTCAATTATTTAGCAACAATTCTAAAGAGTAAGCTTATACTCGTATTTGAACATGGACGTCGAAGAAATGGCCCATCAGCGGACGTGGACGTGCCGGCGGCGGGTCGTTCGATTAAGCTACAGTTTGCCATCCTGACATTTGTCCTGAAATTATCTGCTAGTTTTGGCGTGCATTTTTAATGGAATTAGATTTGCCAATTTCCCCAAAAGGAAGCTATTGAAATCTGGTAATCATTGAAGGCTAATTTTGCACTTGGGGTTTATCGGATGACAGGAAAGTGTCGGCCTCTCTTTCAAGTCAAATTAATGTATACAAAATGTATCTGCTTAATTTTCGTACTTGGTATGTATTAGAACGCATTAATATTTTCCCCCCAAAAGTTGTTCAATTGTAAAAAGCAGCGACCTGGACCTACCTTTGTAAAAAACTTGGCTTGGGTATAACCGAGTATTCCGGAGAAGTATCTCTTCCATAAATTGAAAAAAATGATGCTGCTGCTGAGGACGTAGGCGGACCTATTTCTCCTGATATAGCTTCTGCGCTCGGTGAAATTGTTTTTAACTTTTCCATCTCCATTGTTTCTTTTTGTTGGGCAGGATCCAACAACTGGGACACAGGGCTAGCCTCAATATCAACCGCGACATTAGAAAGATGTTCTTGCTTAATCACTTTCCTATGCTGTGGTGCAACGACTTCATCGTCTTTTCGCATCGGATCTTCAAGACGCTGGTTGAAGCCGGTGCCCCCTCCTTCAACTCCATCCCTTAAGTGAGCATCAACAGTGTCTGAGCCGTTTGAAACGTTAATTTGCTCTTTGCGGCAAATAAAGATTCCTGCACCGTCAGTTCCGTTCCTCAGACGAGCCTTCTTCGTCTTTTTAGTGTATCTTGCGCAAGAATCCGACTTTTTTGCTAACATGTATCGAGTTGACTGTAAAAAATCGTATTTTTTCATTATTCGTTTCATTTATTGGGCTCGTTTAGAACTTACATGTGTGCTTCTTCTATTGACATTTTGCTCGGTCGAGCTGTCTGTTGTACTGGAGCTCCGTGAAGTGGTATCCTGGTCAGTATTTTCGTAATCACTTGTTGAGACCATAATAGAGTGCATTTCCGTATCCATATCCCTTATGGTAACGATTGTTCCAGATCCTTCGTTTCTATTATTTTTGAAGAGATGCTGCTGCATTTTACCTACGGTCAATGAGCTATTTTCTGAGATACCATACGGCCGCGGCAGTTCAGTCTGTATAAATTCCGATCCTTTAACGCTTCCCTTGGGCTGGCCATCAAATTTAATTGGGTGAAATGTTCTCTTTCCTGACATACTAAAAAAATTTAAAAATAACCATTTAGCGTAATTGATTGATATAAATCGGCCACTTGATGGTGCAGTCATTGCATATCAACGTCCAGACAAAAAAAAATAGATTGAAGAACTTATCTTGAACTTCTAAAAGTTAGTATTTATAAGATACATACATATGTACATACATATAACGATCCACAACACAGTCTTAAGAGCCTGATAACACTGCTCCACAAAAGCAAACCTTTTTTCTCAAGAAACCAAACCCACTTTTTCAAATTTTCTAATTTTCTAAAAATTTCTTAATGAACTATACTTTTTTTTATGTCATAACTTTTCTTGAATTATTTTAAAAACCTGGTCTGCTTTGTGAATGTTTTTTTTCAGAGGTAGCGGTTTGTTTTTTCCTCTATTTTTTATGTACAGTTCAAAATCTATGGAGAGCCGGCTGAGCTAAAATTGTTCAACCAACCCTAAAAACGCGTATTTTTCCGTTAAATATAGACATGGTTTAGGATTATTTTGAATTTTAGTATTAATAATAATCAATACTAAGAGAACACAGGATTTAATTTTGTTTCGACTTTTCCTGAGTTTTTAAAGTACAAATTTTTGCATGTCCGAAGCTTGATATTTGGGTATACATTAAAGATTCATTTATCAGTTTTATAGAATGACTAAGTTCATTACCGTTACCAAAAAATACCAGACCTTAAAAATTCTTAAAAAAAAGGTTCTGCCATAAAAAAGAAACCGTAATTCTTAAAAAAAATATAAAGGCCTCACTTTATCAGAAAAGTTGGTTTGGCTCGAAGCTGAAAAAAAGTTCGAGTAGTGTAACTGAACTAAGAGAGAATAATTCGTTAAAGTGACCGGCAACGAGGGAGTGATGAACTACATAAGCATAAATCAAATGTTTATATACATATGTATATGTACATATGTATGTCGTTTGATCCCAGAGACCTTGTGCTCAAGATCTTCTTTCAGTCCCTTCCCCCCTTACATACAGATGTACGTACGTATCATTCCGTACATAAGAAGAAATGATTGTTTTCCCGATTCGCTTTGAACTGAAATTTTATTTATAATGATGACTTCCGCTCTACTGCGACTCCAATACAGACGAGGAAGTACACTGTACAGTTCCCATGCCTTTTGGCGACTGCTGGATGCACACACATGCACATGGGTATATACATATGTATTGTATGTATGTATGTATGTTCATACGTACACAACCATCGCAGGGAAATACAAATATTGACTTGTACACTTACAAATAGCTTCCGCAAATTCACTTCAATGGACTTCTCTTCTCTCCTTTTTGTCGGTATTTCGGTTTAGCTGTATTGTGGTCGTTGTTGTTGCTGTATTTAAATATCAATATTTACATATGTACATGTGAATACATACATACATATGTACATATTCCCGAACACAGAGCATTAAAATGTACATAGCGAGGCGTGTGTAAGTTTTGTAAGCTTGTGCAAATGTAAGCTTGTACATACAAACATACATACATTTGTCCATATGTAAGTACATTTGAATTTCCGAAAATACACTGTCCGTGCGGGAGGGGGGGGGGGGGGGGGGG